CATGATCACGCTCAAATCAAATCTCCCTACTACCAAAGTTCTCAATATCATATTACTGCCCATTGTGACCCTGTGGCACTACAGCTGGTGGCTGCTGACCTCTAGTGAAGGCTTCCCAAGCATCCAAGCGAGGGCTCAAACTCTTCCACAACTAATGCCTCTCCTGAAGCATCAAGCTATTAGTCTCGACCCTAGTGTAAAAGATGTCAAACTGGGACTCCATGTAAGCTTTGGAGCTCAGCATATGACACCCAATATCAAGACAACATGGATACTAGTTCATCTGTAGCGAAGGAGGGGGTGAAAAAGAGGTTCAGGCACCGTCAGTCAAAGGAGCATAACATCATAGCAAAGGTGGAAGATGACTCGGCCTGTGGAAGAGATCGATGTGCGGTCTCTCGTTCTTAATCCAAGCTAGGTAGGAGGAGTGATGAGGTCATCAAGACCAAGCCTACAACTTCACAAGAGGGTCCAAGTACACGTCTAAAGGCTAAGAGGCTAAGGGAGAAATTTGTGAATTATTTAGATTCATCATTTTGATAACATGAACATGGACCAATTCAAAGGAAGGCCGATCATGGTGTTACAATACATTGAAGGAGATCGAATGGCCTTGGAGAAGGAAGGTGACGGCCATGAACTAGAAGGGACTCTTCATAGTGTGAACACAAGGTGTGAAAGAAATGGATGTGAACAGAATATCAAGTGTGAACACAAGCATGAAGGGGGGCAGAATTGAAGGCTTGATTTAAAGAGAGTTAGTTAGTTGTTTTTTACTTTGTCTTTTTCTTATTTGTTAAGGTTTCTATATCCTTTTTAGAGTAGGATTTCATTGTCCCTTTTAGTTTGTTTTTGGGTTCTTAAGCCTGTACATAGGGGACGAACCATTGTAATGAGATATCAAGTTTTAGTTATCAATCAAGTGAATTTCAAGTTAAATTGAGTGTGTTTGTGCGAGTCTTCTGTCAACGAGGTCCATAAGAGGAGTGCAAGTCTCTTATCAACTAAAAACCGCATCTAGTTTTGGTGAGCATCGACTATATCGGTTGGCCCTTCCCACAGGTTTGAATTGTTTGATCAATTTTCATCCTATCCTTTTAATTTCTTGTCATTGAAGAAAGAAGAAAACCATAAAGAGTTCGACGTTGTGCAATTCTTATTCTTTTGTCCGAGTTCGAGATTTCTTTTCGGATTTGGGTCATATCAAGTGGTATCAAGAGGCCAGTTCAAGCACAAAGGTGAGAAGTTCATTGAAGAAGTTCGTGGCGTGTTCTTGAAGCAATATTGGGGAGTCTAAGACAACAAGAAAGTGAATCTTGGTCATGTCTTGGAGGTTTCTTGTGCGGCAAGAAGACATTCTTGAAGGTGATTTCGTAAAGATTTGGAAAACAACAATGGCGGAGAATCAAGCAAATCAAGACGTAGTAGCAACAACTCTACAACAACTAACCGCACTACTAGAAACCTTCAATGCTTGGTTCGAAGCATTGGAAAGGCGCAATCGAGAGCAACCTCAACCGCGCGAACAAGAACTACCCCAACCCCAAACTGTCGAGAACATAAACCCTAACCCTAGGGGTTGACAAGAATATGGAAGGGGAGGTCGAGCTATACAACGACCTATTTTTGAGCATGTAAAGCAACATCAACCTTTGGGAGGGTAGCGTGTAACAAGGAGGAATGTTCAACAACATTATGACGAAGAATATTAAGGTGAGGAAGATGACGATTTGGAAGGCATTAAGGTAACCATCCCTTCATTTAGAGGGACGATTGACCCGAATGCTTATCTTGATTGGGAGCGCAAGATGGATCTAATATTTGATTGTCATAATCATTCAAAAAATGAAAGGTAATCCTAGCTTCTCTCGAGTTTACAGATTATGCACCACCCCGAGAGCCTACCTACCCATCTACTACGCAATTTTATCAAACATGCCCCTCTGCTATTTTTTACATCAAACATGTCCCCCTATAATTTGTAAAAATGAACAAACATGCCCTTATGTTAGAATTTTCATAAAAAACCGTCAACCACAGTCGAACCTTGGTTTGGGCGACACAAATGTCTAAAATATTCTTAATAATTTCATTTTAGAATTGTTTTTTTATAGCCAAATACCTCTAATAATTTCACTTTAACGAGACTTAGAGAAATAAATGAGGGATTTCCCCCCAATTTTGCCAATGTCAGGTCTTGTGAATCTTGTTTCAATCGTGGTTGACCATTTTTTAATGAATTTTTTTCCATAAGTGCATGTTTGATAATATTTTCAAAGCATAGAAGCAAGTTTGATGTAAAAAATAGGCTAAATACATTTGCATAGCCATAACTTTCGAATTTGTGACAATAAAAGCCACTTTTTGAGAAATACACAAAATAGCAAATTTTTTGGGGATTGTATGGCAAATATAGTCATTTCCGTTATAAACTTTTTTTGTTTTGTAGAATTCCGTTATAAACTTTAACGGTGGTAGAAACTTCATCAATTATGTTAACGTTGAGCTAACTAGTATGCCAAATCATCGCACACGTCAGATAAATCGCCCACATGTGCCACAACATATTTTTATTAAAATTTCTCCGTTTTCGTCTACCTCATTTTCCCTTATCCCTCCACTTATGACCTTTCGATAGCTTCCAAATTCTTCGACGGCAAAGTGGGGAAAAGGAGATCGGGAATGTCACTGCAAAATCCAGAACCACCAAAAATGGTAAACGCCATAGCACCAACCGCCGTCGAGGAAAAGTGGGTTCTGCAATTAGGGGTTTGGCAAAGGGCTCGATGTGCTGCTTTCGCGGTGGCCATCGATTGTTCTTGGAAAGCAATGGAGTAGAAACCCATCAAGTTGATTCTTCATAGCTTGTGTCGAGTTACAAATGCATAAAAAATTAAAAATTAAAAAAAAAATAACATATGCAAAATAGGGATGGCAAAAATATCCGTAACCGTGGATATCCGCCCGAATCCGGCCTAATCGGGTACGGTAAAACCCGAACCCGAAGGACATTTAGTGGGTACGGGTAAAACCCGAATCCGAATATGGCGGGTAATGGGTGGCCATGGGTTTCTCACTATCCAACCCGAACCCGCCCGATTATACAAATGCATATGTATTTTGTCTAGAAATAATCATTATTTTTCTCTAAAATATTTTATATTTAGCATATAAATATAATATTTTCATGAAATTGTGTTGTTTTAATTAATTTTGTTCATTCTAGTGAACTATTGTCGTACTTTCCTCTTAAGTAATGTGAGAATACGTGTGAATGATAACATATTTGTTGGAGTTATGAAGAGAAATTATTACCCATGGATAACCGTGGGTACCCGAAACCCGAACGGGTATGGGCATGGTTTTAATTTTCTACCCGTTTCACATATGGGTATGGGTATGGGTAAAATCCGAACTACTTTGGGTAGGGTAACGGATATGCACTATCCGTCCCCGACCCGACCCATTGCCATCCCTATGCAAAAACAATCGCTTGTAGTGTTGGTGTAAAGTTCACCTCTTTATCACTATGGATTAAAAGCAACTATGAAAACTTGATTTCAAAAGGAATTCCATCAAACATGCACCACCATATAAAATTGAATGAAAAGAGGAATTCACAGCCTCCAACGAAGCGCTGTCGGATACCCTGGCTATGTGTTCTGATTCACCTATTGGCTATTGAAGCCCAAGCTTATGGCGGATTGAATGAAGTCGCCGCTGAAGACTTCGTAGGAGGTAGCAAGGAGTTGCGCCGTCAATAGACATGACGAGGCTAGTTGAGGCTATGAGGAAGAAAATGAGAGAGGTGGAACACGAGAAAATGATATTGGGAAGACGAGGAGTTGAGTTTTTATTTTATTTTTATTTTCATCTACGTGTATTGTTATTGACAAAATGATGTCATGTCAGCATTTCTGTTAGTCTAGTCAGACTGTTAGATAACACCAATAAAGAAAAGAATTGAATTGAATATTTTGTGTATTTCTCGGAAAGTGGATATTATTATAAAAATACACGAAAATTATTGCTATACAAGTGTATTTTGACTAAAAAATAGTATAGGGGCATGTTTGATAGAACTACATAATAGAGGAGCATATTACACCTATAAGTAGAGCTGAAAGTTTGGTACTGGTATTCTGGGTATACCGAATACCGTACCGAAATTGTGGATATTTGATATTACCGAATACACGTATTATTTTTTGTGATTGAGATTGAATTTCGAGTGTTATTCGGTATTAGGGATTACATGATTGTGATCGATATATCCTGAAATACCGATCAATACCGAAATATAAGCTAATGTGTATTTTATCCATCTCAACTTGACTCCCACACCAACTACTATCATACCTTAAATCATCAAAATGGTCACTTTATTGTACATAGCTCATTCCCTCACTATTTGACAACAAATACCAAACTCATTTTGTTACTTGTAGTACATTTATGGTTTGCTTAGCCAACTTGTTTGAGTTTGTTAATGTGCTTCTTAGGCAACATTTTTTTCTAGTGTGTTGTTATTGTACTTGAGATTCCCCCCCCCCCCCCCATTTTTTTGCACGATTCTTGGCACCACACCATTGTTTGTTATTATATGTTTTGTGATTGGTTTGTGGAGCTAGTATTTATGATTGTATATATGATATATAATTTTGAAGTAAATTAATTTCGTATATACCGATACCGAAGTTTGGGACACAAATTTATTTTGGGATTGAAATTAGGATTGACTTTAGAGTACTATTCAATATTCAATTTTGATATTTGATATTGAAATACTGATACCATACCGATTTACATCCTACCTATAAGACTATAACCAAAAAAAAAAAGGGAGGAGTATGCGTGTTTGTAAAGTGGAAGTGGAGGTGGAACTCTGGAAGGAATCAGTGGCCAGGAAGGCAAGGAAGTCAAACCAAGAACAATAAATTATCTTTAACAACCAGAGGAATTGATGAGAATTATTTAATAAATAATTTCAAGCAAACAATACAAAATTGGTCACGAAATAGCAGCCATCCATCCCCCTTTCTTTCTCTCACTTGATGCGATTCGATTCCACAGCTAATCAGACTTTTACAGACACCACCCAGGAAAACAACTTTCCCCTTTATCCTCCATCCATCCTCAAATCAACCCAATAATTCATTCATCTCTACCACCGCCTTCCTTCTTCAGTTCTTCTTCTTCATCTTCTTTCTGCTCCTTCACATGGATGAGTGAGTGGATGGCTAAAGGTAATGGCGAGGTGATCAGCAGCACAACATAGAGGCAGACGAAGAAAAAATCTGGCTTGGTTTGCCTTTGCTACTAGCTAGCTCCATCATAAACGAAAATGGAGCCCTCCACCTCCAAGTCACTCCGCTTCCTAGTCCATCAGTCTTTCTTCTCCGCAGTGCGGTCAAACGACCTCCACGCTCTCCAACAGATTGTCGACAAGCTTCAAAAGGATCATCCCTCCTCCGATGCCTCCTTCACTGATCTCATGTCCCTGCAGAACGATGCCGGAGACACGGCCCTGCACATAGCCGCCGCTAACGATTTCCAGGACCTTTTCTCCCATCTCCTCAAATTCTGCCACGATGATGGAGCTCCTCTCAAGATCAGGTCCAAGTCTGGCATGGATGTCTTCCATCTCGCTGCTAAGAAGGGCCACTTAGGTTTGTTTTTCCTTTCTTTAACTAGTAACTGGAACATGGCCTCTTCTCAATCTCAGTTTTCCGCTTTCTGCCTTTGTCTTTGCTCCGTTTGGCATGTAGCGTTTATGCTTTAATTTAATGGGGATTTAGCAGAATTGTATGCCTTTGATTTGCTTTGTTTCTTCCATTTTGTCACTGGTATCGAACTATCAACTAGATCTATATATCTATGGCTCCTGTTCTAATTGAGGAAGAAACGCTTCATTTCAAATAGGTATTGTGCAGCAAGTTTTGGGGATATGGCCGGAGCTCTGCAGGTTATGTGATTCATCCAACACTAGCCCACTCTACTCTGCTGCTGTTCAAGACCACTTGGATGTGGTGACTGCCATCTTGGATGCGGATGGCAGCAGCATCAGGATGGTGAGGAAGAATGGCAAGACCGCTCTGCACAATGCTGCTCGCTACGGCCTCCTCGACATGGCCCAACTGCTCATGGAGAGGGATCCGGGAATCGTCTCCATCAAAGACAAGAAAGGACAGACTGCCCTCCACATGGCCGTCAAAGGCCAGTCTTCTTCCGTGGTCGAGGAGATTCTGCGCACTGATATCTCGGTGCTCAATGAGCGTGACAAGAAGGGTAACACTGCCATTCACATAGCTACCAGGAAATCTCGCCCACAGGTGCATTTGCTCTCTGCTTTCTTCTTATCTCGTAGTAATGCTGCTTCGCTTCTCTATATGGCTGCTAGATTTGAGTGGCGGAAATGTCTTTTGCTTGGACGAGTTTTGGTATTGGATTGTGGCGTAACAGTTGGGAAACCCTGCAAGTTTGATTTCCAAATCCAAATATCCACATGTTGAGGAAAATTTGTCCCTAAACCCGATTTTTTCTTTGTACTCTAACAAGTCAATACACCCCATTTTCACATGCTAACGAACTAGCAAGTAAGTGAAAAGCTATTTATTTTCTCCACAACCCACCAGCCTCTATTAAGAAAGCACGGCGCATGCCAAACATGACATCATTTTTCTATTTGTGAAGGGCAAAAACTGAGAAGTAGGTCGTTCATGCAGAGTGTTTCCTTCTTTTACTTGCCTAACGACTGTTCCGTCCTCTGTGATTCAGATAGTGAGCCTTCTAGTAAGCTACACTTCAATGGAAGTCAACTGCATCAACAATCAGCGGGAGACCGCAATGGATTTAGCAGACAAACTCCAATACGGGGAAGCAGCACTTGAAATCAAAGAAGCTCTCACAGAAGCAGGAGCCAAACATGCACGATTCGTGGGGAAAGCAGATGAAGCAATGGAACTCAAGAGAACAGTGAGCGACATCAAGCACGAAGTCCACTCACAACTCATCCAGAACGAGAAAACCAACAGACGGGTTTCGGGCATCGCCAAAGAGCTGAAGAAGCTCCACAGAGAAGCCGTCCAGAACACGACCAACTCAGTGACCGTGGTGGCAGTGCTTTTCGCTTCCATTGCCTTCCTGGCCATCTTCAACTTGCCCGGCCAGTACATTGCAGAAGGGCCTGATGCGGGCAAGGCAAACGTGGCCGACAACATTGGTTTCAGAGTGTTCTGCCTTCTCAATGCGACTTCTCTCTTCATATCTCTGGCGGTCGTCGTGGTTCAGATCACGTTGGTCGCCTGGGACACGAGGGCCCAGAAACAGGTGGTGTCGGTGGTGAACAAGCTGATGTGGGCGGCTTGTGCGTGCACTTGTGGGGCGTTTCTTGCCGTGGCGTTTGTGGTTGTGGGGAGAGGGAGCTCGTGGATGGCCATAGCTATCACGTTAACGGGAGCCCCGATTCTTATTGGGACGCTGGCGTGTCTGTGTTACTTTGTTTTCAGGCAACATTGTGGGTCGTTCAAGGACTCGCAGAGGCGGATAAAGCGGGCCAGTGGAAGCAAGTCATTCTCCTGGTCGGTCTACTCAGCGAATATGTCGGACGTTGATGACTACGACTCTGATATGGAGAAGATATATGCTCTGTGAAGGTGCCAAGGAGGCTAATAGAGTTTGTGGAGGCAGTAGAAGAAGTAGGGAAGAATGTGAATATGTACATGAGCCTTTTGATTTTTGGTCGTGTCGGGTATTATGGTGCTTTTTCTGTACAAGTGAGTGTTTAGTTTTGTTTCTTGTGGGTTCCAAACCAAATATGCAAATAGAAAGAGCCTAAAAATAAGCCAAGGGTAAAAAGTTTTAAGATAGCCCTGCTTGCCATGGATTAGTCTGTTTGGTTTAGAGGTGTAAATCTGACGAGTTCGAGTTGGATTTAATTGTGTTTCAGGTTAGCCATGGGTTCATCGAGTTATGTATCAATCGGCTTGCGGATTAATAGGGTTACGAGTTAATTGGGTTGTGGACCAATCGATTTGTAGGTCAATCAAAGAGTTAATTGGATTGCGAGTCGATCGGGTTAATGGTTGCTTGGATTAATCCATCAATTTAGTAAAGTTAATTTAAGATATACGAAACAAATGTGCAATTTAGTTATTGTATTAATTGAAGATGTATGCAAAAAATTCAAATTTTTTAGCAAATTTCTTTCTAAGTCATATAGGTACTTATGAACGAATGTATCAAATCAGTTATATTTTACTTTGATGCTTGAATCACTGCCAGGCTGTGAAATCGCTCCCACGCCCAGAGCTGCAGTAAGGGGACCCATCCACCAAGGTCACCTCCTAGGGAAGAGGAGCTCGTCATGTGCAAACTCGATCTCCCCATGTCACGGTACAGGTAGGCTAATACAGCTGCTCCCTAGGCGAACCGTCCAGCTCTCTACCAATCCTCCACAAAAAGTAGGTATTGTAGATGGACTATAGCTCCACTCCGATCGGGGAACAATACACCTTCCATCAGAGATAGAGCATAAGCTCGTGCAAACTGCTCTGTAGTCTCTGGTGATGCATGTGCCGGCAGATTATTGAATTGTTCCCTGAGCCAACCAATCCTAATGACACCACCGGAAAGATCATTAGTAGCCCGTCCTAATAGTCTCACACAAGTCTCCGACCACTCCTCATATGGTATGTCTACTACGACAACATCACCATCGATCGCTAGACCAGTGAGTGTCACAACGTCCTCGCCAAACAGCAAGTGGAAGGTCGATGTCTCGGGTCACCAACGCTCTACGAGCGCAGTAATCAAACTTGCATTAGTAGTCATAGGGACCAATTGCAGAACAGTAGACAAGCCCGCCTCGACGAGGTACGCAGATAATGTGAATGGTACGTCACTAAATTGGTCCTACCTCGAATATGATAAGGTCGATCACCAGCCTATAGTGCACAAAACTTATATTAATTCAATTTCATGCGTAATTCTAATTTCAGTTCACCTAGTAAAATCTATCTAATCTAAACTTATGCTAATTTAAAAAAAAAAAATCATACGTAATTCTATTCTAATTTCAGTTCAATTCACTTAGTAAAAATTTATAATAGTCTAATCTAACTAGCTACTGAACTTTAAAGAAGTAGTTGTTATGATAGACTTACCTCGTTTGCCCAAACTGCGTCGACACGATGTTGACCATGTCCCCAAAAAAGTACCCAATCAGCCGGAGCTGGATCAATTGTCGTAGGTGGTGGTCTCATGGAATAACTGTCCATAAGCTTAGAAACTTAAAAAACAAAAAACAAAAAATAGTTTACACATAATAAAACCCGCCACCGGCAAGATCCTTACCTCGGTAACTGCCGCCGCCACGAGCTCGCTGCCCTCTCCCCCTACCTCTACCGACAACCGCTTCCTCGTCAGTGTCAGACATCTTCCCCAAAACTTCTAACCATATCAGATCTACGAGGCGCGCGCGAGGGAAGAAGACATACGACGCCTTCGCTTGAGACTGAGGCGAGGCCTCCGGAGTCTCAGGCAGGTTGGCTCGAAGGGATGGCGAAGCCGCCTCTCTTTCTCGCGTCGGCGCTGGGTGTCGGGCGGGGCTGCTGGAAGGAGGAAGGAGATGGGTGGTATGTGGTGGTTTGGAGGAAGAAGAGATAAGGCTGTGGGGAAAAGTAAAAAAGGGAGAGAGGGCGCGTCCGCCTCACACTCAGGCACCCCCACTTTAATTTTTTTGTACCCGCCTCACACTCAGGCGGGGCCACCTTTTTACTATTAAAAAGCCTACAAATTGGCTCGGCTTGAGTCTCGGGCGGTCTCGCCAGTTTTGCTCTCCAAAACACAATATACATGTCAATAGTTTTAAAACCGTCATATTAGTGGTAAATTAAAAAACACTATATTTTGGGAATTGTTGAAAACAAAAAAGTTTTCCTTTCTTTCTCTTTCCATAAATTAAAAGTACCAAAAATTTCACTTCTTTATCTTACCATAAATCAAAAGCACCCAAATTGTCTTTTTTCTCCAAGAATTGAAATGTACAATTTTCTCTGTTCTTTCTCTTTCCAAAAATTTGAATACATCAAAATTTATCCTTTTTTAAAATAATAAAATTACCAAACACATTGCTTTACTCTAATTATGATTAATTGATAATTTTTTTGAGCAGTGAAACTAACCAGAAATTTAATGTATATATGATATATATTAATGTTATATATTGTCTCAATGTTAAATAATTATTATGTGCTAATTTAATATTTCATAATTTTTTTTTTTGTAATTTTGTTGAGTAAACTTCAAGTCTTAATTTTTGCAATCTTATTAAAAACACATCATTTTAAGTGAATTCAGATTTTGAACTTTACTTTACAAAATGTAAAATGGCTTTACCTAGGTTTATAAAAAAGTCATTTTGATATTAAATATAACGATTTGGATTGGATTTTAAAGAAACGGAAGGGAAGAACCAAGACACAAAAGAGTATGAAGAATTTGGAGAAAATGTTGTCACGTGGTTATTTTGGTAAATTCTTGGCTTGATGGAGCAAGGAAAGAGAGAGTTTTAAGGATTAATGATTTAGGCTACTCTGATTTTGACGTTGTTGATAGTTATAATGGTGAGACTGGTAATTCGAAAGAGTTCTCTTTCTGACGTAGCTAGTCACAGGCGATTTGTTTTTTTCTTCGGTTCGAGCTAAGAATCTACTGATGGATGTACCCAAAGAATGTGTATAGGAGATAGGGGTGTTCAAATGGTTACCATGGTTATAATCAAACCAAATAAGGTTAAATTATATTAACCATAGAATACAATATCATAACCAAATCGTCCAAACTAATACAACAACCAAATTAATCAAACTAAAGTTTAATCGGTTTGGTTAATTGGTTAACCAGATTAACCAATATAAAATCACATTATCATTGACGATGAAAATTTTCCGGTTAATGCAAAAATTCGTAATTTATATAATGAATAAAACATAACAATCAACACGTAGTTATAGTTGACCCTTAAAAAATACATGCAACTAAGACAATTATCTTACGATTAGTATAGAAGTATTCACCTAACAAAAATTTATGACAATGGTATGGGTTAATGAATTGTTGTGTTTGTATAAATTGACTTAGTCTCTTAGCAATTATCATAGGCTGGAAATGACCTTCCATCATAATGTATGAAATTTATCTAAATTAGGCGTCCATATGTTGTGGTCTACACTTTCCATATACAAATATACACTATATGAGCAATATTGAGCTTTATATTTTATGAGTCTAAAAAGGATGAACATTAACTCTTGAGTGGTTATGCAAAGTATTAAGTATGTGTATATAATATATGTTAGATATATGACTAATTACTTAACTGGTTAATTTGGTTTGACTGGTTAGGAGTGTCTGAAACCAAACCACCTAAACCAAACAAGCTAAAAACGTTAACCAAACCAAACCAATTATCCAAATTAACCAAACCAAATTATCCAAATAGTACCGGTTAAAACGGTTACCACGGTAACCAAAACGTTTGAACACCCCTAATGGGAGATAGACCGGTGTAAGGAAAATCATGTAAATACTCATGTATTGAAGGAAAAAATCACAAAATATACATGATTACATGTTATAGAAAAAATTCTCAATCTACACATATTTGTACATTACTACGATCGTTAACCGTAGTTAATGCATTCAGCACGGCAGACGAAAGCTGTGAATGCATCACCGCGGTTGACGGGCACGGTGAATGCCTAACCTAACACTCAAATTTCAAACGAACGTAACTTTGCGCTCGGTTATCCGATTGTAGCGAATTTTTTTTATTCCACATAACTTTTCAAGATCTTTCAATCTGCAATAAGTTTTCATCCCAAAAAAATGTCGTTTACTACCCCGAACGAGCAATTTTTCGATTTTGCAAAACTTTAGAAGGCCATAACTTTTTGCTCCTCAATCCGAACGTCATAAAGTTTTTTTTATTGCATATAGCTTTTTAAAAACTACAAATTTTAATAGGAAAGAATTTTTTTTAAAAAAGAAATATTTTTGGGTATACGGGGTTTTTGGAATAAATTTGCCTCTACTTTTACAAATCCACATACATTCCAAAATTATGGTTATGATCAAAGTTTGGATTTTGCTACGGTGACATGCATGTCACCGTGACATGGACTTTTCGGTCGACCTAATCCAACATGCGGTCGACCGAACGGACTAATTCATGTATGTGGGGTTCCGAGACGCGGTCGACCTCTTACATAATATGGTCGACCGCTTTGGTGGTCTAACAGAATGAAAGGTCGATCCAAATATTTCATAGGCCGACCCTTGTGCACCTAACAGGTTGACCGCATATGAAGATGTCGACCGCCTTCACACCGTATCCGTATTGGATATGGATTCCAACACCAGAAAGGTTCCACAATTGGACAAGGAAACGAATTGGGTCGACCGAGGTTTTATTCTGGTCGACCAAAAATAACAACTTAAACTAAGTGCGGTCGACCAGGTGGTAGTTGAGGTCGACCGCAATGCTTTCTCGTGCTGCCCAAATTAGTCAATTCGGTCGACCGCCTTCAGGAATAGGTCGACCGAAAAGTGCATGTCACCGTGACATGCATGTCATAGTAGGCATACCCTCAAAGTTTTAGTCCTTCAAAATTTATTTGAAATAAAAAAAAGTTTCATGACATTCGGATTGCGAGCACAAAGTTATGATCTTCCAAAGTTCGTCGAAATCGAAAAATTGTTCGTTCGGGGTAGCAAACAATATATTTTTTGCAATGTTGTCAGAACCGAATCGGAGCATGACCCGGTAATGCGAATGGCTCGCACTTTAGTGGTCCAACCGGCATTAGACCATTTAAAAACCGTTAGAGAACCGATACCTAATAAACGTTATCAGTACAAATAGTGGACATTTCTTAATCATAGCTCGTCTCTTTTCTTTGAAATTGAGAAATGGAAATAAGGATTCAGTTTGAGAGCCCGACATTTTTGGTTTATTTCAATTTTCAATTTTCTGCAATGTTTTTAATTAAATTTAACGGCTAAATGGCAAAAACTGGACGAGCGGCTCGATCTGTTCGAGTGGTTAACCGCCTTGGCCGCTTGTTAACCGCCACATAAAACCGGAGCG